ATCATGTCGCCCCGTAACCTCACTTGAACGTTTAAGAAAGGAAGCCAATTTCCGGTTTTTCCCGTGTTAACGTGATGTGCTCTGATTATGAAATCAGTAGGGCGAAACACAGATCTAGTTCTTCCTGTGTCGAACACGCTATGACTATGAGAATGTAGTTAAACCTTTGAAGTGGGCGGGGTTTACATCACGAGGGGCGGGGCTGAAGTCGATAATTCACGACGCTGTTCAGAATTGTTTAAAACTCATAAAAAAAAGTGGTTCACTTTATGGAAGTCCTTGAAATGTATCGAACGCTTATTCTTACTAAATAAAGCGCCTGCGTCTGTCTGTGTGTCTGTCACGAATTTCCATAGTGCCTGAAGAAACACCTGGACAGGTCGGGTCAAGCTTGGAACGGGTAGAGCATAGGGTAAGAACAACAGAGCACATAAGACCTCAGCGGAAGCTCCGCCCATTGAGGCAGGCCATGCAAAGGAGTGGACGGTGGCATGGGCAAACCATTCTTATTCGGTGTTATAACAGTCCGAAAGCCGTGAGAAAGGGCAAAGGTGAGGGATGGGTCAACAATGAAATGAGGGAGACTCACCGGCGGTGGGCGGAGCGTTCCTGCAGTGAGCTGTACTTTCCACATAAGTTCATAGCTCGATTCAACTACGGCGAGGAGGCCAGAAAAAAAGATAGAAGGAATGAGCAAGACCTTATGCGTGCTAGGCATGCTTAGCAAGACTCAGCCCATGGGCGGGACGTGCATTGAAATGGAAGCTACTTTTCAAAACTAGATATAGTACAAAGATCGACCATAATAATACATTCACGGGGTTTATATACACAACATGTGGGCGGTCCTCAGATACCGTATCGCCACTGGACCATAGGAGGCTCGTGGCGGTACTCAAACTCGGGGAGTGAAAGAGCGGACCGCGCCAACGGCAGAACTTAAGTTACCTACTTGATTGCACACTTACGATACCGCCAGGTCATGCCTGTGGTCTCAACTCAAGAGATACTCATGTCAAGTTATGCCTATGGTTAATATGTTGAACTAGCATGTTATCCATCATTCTTGTAAAGGCTAGTTCTATTACAAACATATACACGGTTGTGAATCCACAACACTGGGGCGGGGCGAAAAGTAGCGGTAGCTATATTGTACAACAGTGTTACCAACGTAAAATTAATTGCGCATCAATGCATATACTATACTAGATGAGCGAATATCAATGCAACTATGTGACAACAATGTTAAATATCTCAATACAATTTTCATTATTTATGAATAGAATGGCATCATTTACAAATGTCTGTCGTTTTCGCTTGTAGACGTCGTCGTTAGCTGGCAACGCTGGTGTTGAAAAAAACCTGGTTCTTTGCAGCTCTTGGTGGCTGACGTCTCACGGGAGCGTCAGATTTCTCCTCGGTGTTGATGACGGTTTTCTTGTAGTAGTGGCTCTTGCTCGATATGTTAAAGATTCGTCATTTTGATCGTGTGATGAAGAGGGTATTTCCAGAGGAATAAGTCGATTGGTTGGTTCCGAACTATTCTCTCTGTTGATGCTTGGAGTATGGCGCTCGGAATTTGGCCATGTTGCCTGGTGTCCAATCATATAGCAACATCGTGTCCTCGGGACGGTAGGGCACTGAAGTGCTCTGGGTCGAAACACTTCCGTCTGAGTCACTTGCTGCGTTCTTAGGTCCAGTGTATGCACCCTTTCATCGAGCCTTCTCAAACTGTCATCCATCCGATTTAGCTTCCGCTTGATATCGTTCACGCTATCCAATAAAGCATAGAACGTGTCGCAAGCGTTCTTATTCGAGAAGACGCGCCTGTCATCTTGCGATATCAAAGGGGGGCGCAAGGTAGTTCTTGGTGGACTTATAGGCCCTTTCTTTTTTCCCCGCTTTTGACGTACTTTTGCAGTGAAAGGGCGAATAGAAGCGGGCTCTCGGATGTTGGCAAAAAGTGCTTCCGCTCCAGAGATATTCTTGTCCGTTTTGGAGTAGTCGTTTGATGATATAAGAGGAATAGCCACAATGAGCGACCCACATTGTACACATGTAACTTGCTCCATCGAATTGGGTATGCTGCCAGCTCCTGAGATTGTGTACCCGAAGATTGTGGGTGTGAGAACTAATCCAGATGGTAGCTTTGAAACTATATTGTGGTGTTCGATCACTTGATTTAGGAGGTCTTGTCCTATGAGTAGATCGGGTGATACTTCTGACGGGCGCAAAGTTTGCTGAGCAATCATGATTTTCTCCCTTTTAATGAAGCTTTTGTCAGCTTCCGATAGTAGAGCGGCTTTGGTAGTCGACGTCAGTTTCTCCTTAGTGAAAACCGACAGACGTTGCAGTTTCCTCGAGCTGCGTAAGCCCTTCAAGGTCACTTTCATTTCATTCGATTTGAAGGTTTCTTGAAGCTCTCCTATTCCTGTTATGGTAAATGATGTGGAGCTTATTGTTGGCAGCCTCAATCTCTTTCTTATCTCTGCCTTTATGAAGCTTTTCTGAGCTCCTGAATCAAGCAGAATAGTGATTGGCTGATAATCTCCGCTGGCTTCATTAAAGATCAAAGCGGAGGCCATTTGCAGTACGCATTGTCCTGATACCGGTCGTTCCGATTCTGTGGTGAAGTTCCGAGCAGGAGCAGCACGCAAAGTTTGCACTCTGTTTGTTTCTCTCGAGTTATTATTATTTCTTGGTGTTGGTTATCTGAAGCGGTTGGTTTGCGATGGAAGCGGCATCCTTGCTGCTCCATGCTGAGTGGAGTTCGGCGGTGGGTTTTGCCTACGATTAGGCAGGAACATAGATTCCAGACCACTACTCGATGTTATGCGGAGTGAGCCATGGTGATCCCCCTTGCATTTTGGACATGGCCCCATTGCTGTGCAGAATCTTGAGCCTTGAGTTATTCCAGACCGCTGCTTGATGTTATGCAGAGTGAGCCAAGGTGATCCCCCTTGCATTTTGGACATGGTCCCATTACTGTGCAGAATCTTGAGCGGTGAGTTTTATCGAAACATTTCCAGCACGCTCCTTGGCGCTTGGCTTCCATTCGCCGGGTCTCAGGTGTAGGGAACCTGGCGCATCGTTGTGGTGAGTGCGACTCCCACACAGACATGTGTCTCAGTCGATGACTGGAGAACTGTTTCATTTGGTTGCGTCCCCCGTTATGTCCTCTGGCGTTGTTCTGCATGGCTTGGGCGGTTTGTGTACCGAAGAGCGTCTTTGTCGTTAGTTCGGTGGTTTCTTGAAGCGTAATGATTTCATCAACGGCATCAAGAATATCCTTCACTTTGCGTCCCCCGTTATGTCCTCTGGCGTTGTTCTGCATGGCTTGGGCGGTTTGAGTACCGAAGAGCGTCTTTGTCGTTAGTTCCTTAGTTCCTAGTTCCTGGTTTAGTTCGGTAGGTTCTTGAAGCGTAATGATTTCATCAACGGCATCAAGAATATCCTTCACTTCGAATATTGTGCTACTTTGATTTTCTTTCTTAATTACTTGGCTACAGATATTCTCTGTGAACTTGGAAAGGATAAGACATCGCCATACTCTGTCTGCGTTCATTGGCACTCCAGTTTGTTCTAGGTGCACAAGAAGATATGGAATTGAATGTATTTCGACAGCTCCTCGAGTTTTCTTGAGCCCTAGGCAGCTGCTCGATCTCGTTTATTAAGATATCGGCTAATGCCTGAGGATCTGTCGTACTGTTTCTTGAGTATATTCAGCGCGACATTATATTTGTCGCCAATGACTGGAATGCTGCTGATTGAAGCAGCTGCATTTCCCTTCAGAGCTTGTTTCAAGAAGAGGAATTTTTCTTGGTCACTCAAGTCCGTTTCGTTGTGTATGAGAGATTCGAAGACTGACCAGAAGGTGTTGAATTCTCTGTAGTCCCCAGAGAATGTTGGAACTTCGAGCAGAGGGCGTCGAACTGGTATGCTGCAGTCATACAACGTATTGAGAGTACCCCTTCCGCTGTGGGAA